TTTTAGTCCGTGAGGCAGACACCCTGTCTACTTTTAAGGCTAGGCTTAAAACTTTCCTTTTTGATAAAGCTTATAGTTAGAGTGGCTCAGTTTATCCTGAGCTATCTCTATAATTATGCTGCTACAGGCTTAGACTGCTGGAGGACATGGGGACCCCTTTTTTCATTGTTCTGCTTCATTCTATCTCTATTCTCCCACTCTGCAGAATCTTAGTTCAATCTCTAACGTTCTGCTCTCTCTGTTTTTTCTCATAGCAGCTTCATCTGGTCTGTTCCCGTTTGGCTGTGACTCCATCCTGGACAGAAATATCAGCCATGCTGCTGCCATCAATACCTTTGTTTAGAGATGTTTGCATTTGGCCTGTTTTACACTATAGTTCCGTTTCTCTGACTGTAACTTGTGCAGCGTTCACACTGCAGGCCTTAATGCTCATTCCAATTTTTTTTTATATATAAAATTTTTTTGCATCGCCATTCACATTTTCAAATATATGTGACTTGTATGTGATCTCCTGTGTGAACTGCATTCATTGAGCTTAAGTGTCCAGCATGCGCAGTAGAGGACACAAAGCAAGTGTGTTCTGTGTTTACGGAAGTAAACATGGATGGTAGTGCTGGAGCGCATCTAGCAATCTTTCCCAACCTTTAAAACTTAATTTTTTCAAGATGTTTAAAAATAAAGACTGCCCTCAGTATTATCGTTCAACTTCACCATGCTTGTTTTTTTTCTTTCCGCCTCTGCCTAGCAAGACACAGAATGTTGACCTTTGTTGAGTATTAATGGCGTTCAGGTCGGATGAATGCAACCTGGCTGTTCAGACACAGGTCACATTTTGAAAGATCAGGTTTCTACAGATTCAGGATCACATAGCCAAGTGGCCTGGGTCGCATTGGAAAAATCGGATCTGTTGTTTAGACCGCCATGAAAAGATCAGATACAGATTGCATATAGGCACATAAAATTGATCTGGGTCACTTCAGGCTGCTGTGTGAACATAGCCTTAATGTATGTGCTATCTCTGCTTCTTTTTCTATCCCTGCTTCTGTCTCCTAGAACCCCAGTCGGCCTCAGCAGATGGCCGCTCACACTGAGCCTGGTTCTGCTGGAGGTTTTCTTCCTGTTAAAATTGAGTTTTCCTCTCCACTGTCGCTACAAGCAGTGGTGTTGTAGTGTCTCACTTACCTCCTCAATTCAAAGCTTCTGTCAGCTTTTAACTTGGCTGTAAAGCTATTATTTCATCTAACCACATCCAAAATGGTACTTTGCTGAATTGATGAATGTCTGACTACTCATCACCCTATTGAGTGGAGCAGTCATTGCTCACCACTTTAAAGTGGAAAGGAAACTAAACTAACTTCATTTATGAGATTGTGTCTTACTAATATAACAATTTTATCACAAATGAGAAAAATATAAAAATATAATTTTTATAATTTTTGGCCATCTTGTATTACTCAAAGTAGTGACTTTACACTGTAGGTTGATTCTGTTGCTGCCAGTTGAATTAATTGAAAATACCAGCGATACCTCACAACCATAAGACACTTAAGCAATCTGGTATAATGGAAAAGAAGATTAAATAAAAAACATTGCCATCCCATATGTTGCTGGACTCTCTAAAAAAATTTTGAGAGTCTGGGATAAACGCAAAATCCCAGTACATTTCAGACAAAACAAGATCCTTAAACAGAGACTAGTGCATCCTAAAGACATAACTCCCAAACCTAAGATGGGCGGAGTGGTGTATGCAGCTCAATGCAGTGGGGAATGCTCTGAGGAGAAAACCAAACAACCTCTCCAAAGAAGCATCGCCCAACACAGAAGAGCTACCTTCTCTGGACAAGACTCTACTACACCTTATGGACAAGGGACATTCTGTTGTTGTTTTGGGGAAATGAATGTTCAGATTTTAGACAAAGAAGACAGGTGGTTTGAAAGGGGTGTGGAGGAAACCATCTATGTTTAGAAAGAAAAACCAACCTTAAACAGAGGAGGTGGATTTTAGCTTTCAAAAACCTACAATGCAGCGATTGAGTTGATTCCTTCCTGCTATCATCGCAGCCCCAGACCAGACCAGAGCACCACCCTGTTCAGCCGAGCCTAATATTCCCTCTAACGACCACGCTTTACGAGACAAAGACATGTATCAGGTATTGCAGGCTAACAAACAAACCAAACGACCCCCATTCCTAAGGGGTGGACCCGTTCGTCCGTTTCAATCTGCATGTTTTCTAAGCCAACAAAAGGTTTTGTTATTGGTCCACTCTATAAAGCCTCTGGCTCAGCGCTATTTCTGACATTTTTGAATTGAAAAAGCTTCCTGGATGGGAAGCGAAAGGTCTTCAAACTTGGAAACAAAGTCCAGTGGATTGATTTTTAACCATTTTTGGAATGATTATGACCTGGAAGACTAAGATGATGACTAAATCCCATTGTTTGTGTAAAAACTCTTAAAAGTACATTGAACTGAAAATGTCCGATTGGACTTACCTCCTTGGCTCTGAGTCTTTCGTTTTCCATGTTGACATCAAGCAAAGGACGTACCCTGCAGAAAAGTTTCCACCAGCTCCATTTGGAGACAGTGTTCAAAACCCGTAGGTTCCTCTGCAGACATCTTACCGCCATCTGTTGTACCTGAAAAGACATATAATATAATCAAAATTTTTAAATTTTCTAATAAGTAATTATGGCTGCAGTAACAGTAAGGACCACAGCGTGGCAGTGAAGCAAAAGATTATCTTCTCTGATGTGTTTAAGGGTGGATCTAATGAAACTGAAGCACTGGGGTAACTGGGATACCTGCGGTTGCTCGACACGGTGCAAGACTCTGAGACAGAGCGACAGAGCGGGGGAGGGCAGCAAGTGACCGGTGTCTGAGACATCACTTCGGTTACATAGGTGCTAGGGTGCTAGAAGGACCTTTGTAATCTAGCACCCAGAGCACCCTGCTGTGGTTCATAATATTATCATGGCACTCTGTCCAAAAGCAGAAATATTCCTAGGACTAGGTGTATATTATCTATATACAGATAGAAACATTGATATCTTGTTTTCTATTCTCTCAGTGGACCTAGAACAAGTGAAAATGAACCAAGCATTGGCTTGTAGGATCGTAAAGAAAAAGGAGACAGAAAAACAGTATGATGATTGAATTAGAATTTCTTTAGGTAGAAATTGACAGAGCTGCCGTAGTTGTTCCTAGAATTTCTAAAAGGTGAATGGGAGGCAGATCTTTTAGTTATCAGGCT